AAACTTTCTACTTCTACCCTACTGCATACCACCTGCCCCAGCAGGAGGCGTTTTGTCTATTAGTATATTACGTAATAACATGTAATACATTTGATATGAATCTTTAATTTGTGGGCCTATCAACAATAATGTGAAATTATATAAATTAAAAACTCAACGTTAAATAAATAAAAGTAAAAATGGGAAATAATGTAATTCTGCTACTGTGTTGTGATTGGCTGTCTCAGTGCTACGTCACAGTTACGTGCCCTCCTATTGGTGGATCGTCCTCCCCGGAGCTGGACCCGAGCTGAAGGTGACGTTGGCCCGACTCTCCACCTCCATCCACCCGCACTCACAAGCATCCTCCCCGGCCTCCTCTTCCTCCAGCACCGCGCCGTGACCTCCTGCTTCTCCCGGGAACCATGTCCGTGTTCAGCGATGTCCCGCAGGCTCCTCCCGTGGCCGTGTTCAAACTGTCGGCGGACTTCAGGGAGGACGGCCACCCGCAGAAGGTCAACCTGGGAGTCGGGGGTAAGAGATGGAAGCTGTCGGCGGCTAATGCTAATGCTAAAGCTAAGCTAGCTTGCTCCCGGTGGTGAGTTAGCATCGTGTCCGCTGCTGCCGCCGCTGCCTCCGGCTCCAGGCCTCGCTCGGCCCGCTGAGCTGTGAGGGTGTGCTCCAGACCAGCGGTGCTGCTGTGGTTTGACCTTCAAGCTAACTAGCTCTGAAGCTAACGAGCCCAAAGTAGCTTCCCTTCGTGTTGACAGACACTAAACTTTCAACCCTCGTCTCTGCTACCGGAGGAAACTGTGTGGACGTGACGCAGACGATGCTCTTATCTTGGAATTACTTTTAATTTAGAATTTAATTCTGTTGTTTGTCACGATTTAGCTTCAAGTTAACACAGGCGGTGTTAGTTCCACTTTCCTCCACTTGTCCTTGAACGCACCATCCTCCTCTCAACACTGTTGTATACAAAATACTCAAAATACATGATGGTAATCCTAAGAGACTAGTGAATTATATGTTAGGACAGTCAGTTGCTGTGGTTTAATAACAACTTGAACACTTCTTACTTTATGTTTTGGGGAGACAGGGATTCAAACAGTGGATCACAACAACAACAACAACAACAGCTGTTAGCTGTTGTACATGGAGTGATTTACTATCAACTATCATTTAGATATATATAGTTTCGACAGGTCGAACTTGGACTGCTGCATCTTTACTCTCTGTACTCCCTGGTGTCTGTATGTGACCGATAAAATCACCCTTTCACGTCTTGCAATAAGAAATACAATGTCTACAAAGATGTTAAGAATCCAGATTAAGATTTGCTAACATTTCACATTTAAAAATATGTTCTCTCTTCTTAATTCAACTTCTGAAACCCAAATGACATCATACAAAACATTGACATTACTTTTATTAATCCCGAACGTTTAAAGGAACGAACTATGTCAACTAAAATGAAATAACCAAACAGACAGTCAGGTTCTGCAGTAGTCCCATATCATGTTATAAGAATTGTATGGAAAAAGCTGAATACGTTTTATTTTACAGTCTTAACTGCTTGAGTGACCAGATGCCACTATTATAATTGACCTCATCTAATGATGCAACATGCACTCAAACCAGAGCTGCTCTTTTGGAGCTCCGTGTCTAAACACTCCTGAGTTGTCCAAACCAGCTCGGTTCAGAAAGCCTCGACCGCATGACGTGGTGTGTTCATATCGTAGGGACAGTTCGAGGCTCTCTCACAGTGGCAGTAGATGCCCATTGAATCAGCTGCATGAACAAAAATTAAACAGAACAAATAAATGTCCAGGAAGCAGCAGGAGCAGTGAACACACGGCACAGAAACATCAGTCTTTGCGTTCGTCTAAATTATTTTCCTTAAAGCTGATCCGCTCGTCCAGAACTGACAGAATGTACGAGCTCACAGATATGTCTGCCCTTTCATTCATAGTGACAGTCTACAGCTGTGGTGCCGGCCGGATATTTGATACAGCTCTGCACAGGCTTCAGTACAGTATGAGCTCGAGTTCTTAAGGAGTCAAACATGTGCAACACACACACACACAGTTGGTTTGGTCTGGTTCTTCAGGGTGACCTTCATAGAGTCATAGACATAATTACAGCCCAACCCATGTGGATTTTTGTTGATGCCGATAACAGGATGTAAAAAATGTTCTCAAACAAAAAAAATGTCATTGACACTTCATATTTTACAGCTTAACTCTATATTTTGTTATAAATGACTATAAAGAAAACACAACTACAACCTTAACATGTTTGTTTTTTTTAACACGTCTTGTGCATTGTTTGTTGTTGAGCCTTCACATCGGCAAACACACACGAATAACAAAATGTCTGTGAAGGCTCTTATTGGACAGTTGATAAGTAGTAGAGCACAAGACATAACATGTGATTAAATACTGTTTATGTCTGTCGCTGGTGTGATTGTCTCTCACTGCAGGGTCATCATTTGTACATTTTGAGAACGATGTGGAGAATTTTTGACAAAAAGATTTATAAACGTCAAGAGATTGCACAAAAAATCTATTTATTTGAGAGAAGTTAACGGTTCTTGCTTTGTGTCCCTCCAGCTTACCGCACCGACGACAACCAGCCCTGGGTGCTGCCGGTGGTGAAGAAGGTGGAGCGGCTGATCGTGGAGGACACCAGCCTGAACCACGAGTACCTGCCCATCCTCGGCCTGCCCGAGTTCCGCTCTGCTGCCTCCAAGGTCGCTCTGGGAGAAGACAGTTCCGCCATCAAGGAGAACAGGGTGAGAGATGCATGCATGTTAAACATGTGCCTCGGTTACAGGGTCATGTGATGACATCTTCAAGAGAGGCTGTGTTTGTGCCAACTGTGATGTCATTTCCTGGAGAATATATCTCTAAAATCTGTACAACCTAATCTCAGCTGTCCCGTACATACACGATACAAGTTCTACCTATTGTGGTTTTTATTTCAGTTTGATTAAAACAGCATCACGCAAACGACTGTGGGACTTCCATCTTCAGAGAGTTGATCCATCCTTTTTCCTTCCTGCTGTTGTGTCTCTCAGGTCGGGGGAGTCCAGGCTCTGGGTGGGACCGGTGCCCTGAGGATCGGGGCAGAGTTCCTGCGCCGCTGGTACAACGGCACCAACAACACAGCTACGCCCGTCTACGTGTCAGCGCCCACCTGGGGTCAGTGGACAGCTGCAAATCAAATGATAACTTACTGTCCAAATTCCCTTAAGCTTTTATAGTTTATATTTCTGATTAAAGGGTTGGCACTAAGGAAGTAAGTTTCTTTGTTCATTCAAGGTTTCTATACTTCATGTTCTTCTTCCTCCCAGAGAACCACAATAGTGTGTTTGCTGATGCTGGTTTCAAAGACATCCGTCCCTACCACTACTGGGACGCTGCTAAGAGGGGCCTGGACCTCACCGGGCTCCTGGACGACCTGGAGGTGAGGAGGGACCGGTGTGAAGAATGCGTTTTCACGGTGTCATTGGTTTTTACATCAGGACAATAGATCTTCAAAATAAAATCCTAATTTTCAAGTTAGATACCAAGATGAAACTTTGCGAGGTGACATCTGAGTTTCTAATTGATGTATAATATACATTCCACTATATATTAATATATTATTTCCAATAAAATATCTTTAAATCTGCAGCTTTCAAGGTTTAAACAAGTAACAAATGGGGAGAGTGAAAGAAGTAGTCGATGTGAGACACATTTTCCTGTTCTCACGAGTTGTTTCTAAACATGTTTTTCTCGTCATGTCACACGTATGCACACATGAATAATGTCATATGTTACTTATTAACACTGTGAAACATCTGTATGAATCCTGTATTGTATTTTTTTATTGTAGAGTCAAACTGATATGACTTATGAAAGTAGATCTGACCCCACACGGAACATTTGCACATTAAGAAACTATTTTTTGTAAAGAAACAGGGCCAGAGTTTTTGTGAACATGATTTCATCTTTGCTTCTCCTCCTCTCTCAACAGAAAGCTCCAGAACACTCCATCTTCGTCCTCCATGCCTGCGCACACAACCCGACCGGCACCGACCCGACCCAGGACGAGTGGAAGCAGATCGCAGAGATCATGAAGGTTTGTAGTTTCTCAGATCAGGTGGTGGTGGTGGAGATATCTTCACCTCTAAAGCTTTCTTTCTGAAATGATCCAGAAGTATGTGAGAATGTCTGAGTCAGTTGGTTCAGCAGGAGAAAGTCCAGAACGTTACCACTCCCTTCATTTTCATTTCTTTATCTTTTGTTCTCTAGAGGAGGAAGCTGTTTGTGTTCTTCGACTCGGCCTATCAGGGCTTCGCCTCCGGCAGCCTGGATAAAGACGCCTGGGCCATCCGCTTCTTTGTCTCCGAGGGCTTTGAGCTCTTTGTAGCTCAGTCCTTCTCCAAAAACTTTGGCCTGTACAGTGAGTACATGATTCACACACCGGTGCATGTTTGAACACACAACAACACACCCCTGAGTTCTAGGTAATTAAAACTGACTTGCCAAAGAAGAGTTTATCTCTCGACTTATTACAGTTTTGTTAATAGAAACACAGTCAAGTAATTCCTCTTCTGCTGTCATCAGACGAGAGAGTGGGGAACCTCACGGTGGTTTCCCAGGACAACGAGAATCTGACCCGTGTCCTGTCTCAGATGGAGAAGATTGTCAGGACGACCTGGTCCAACCCACCATCTCAGGGAGCGCGCATCGTCAGCAAGACCCTCAACTGCCCCGAGCTCTTCGCTGAATGGTGCGTCTAACATCGGCCTGTTAGATTTGGTTGAACTCACCTCTGGGGGTTTGGCTGTTTATTCAAAGTGAACAGGGGGCGTTCGACTTGGTGTTAAAACGCTTGGCGACATAGTTACGATGTTAATGTATCAAATAAACAACAGTAGCATGGTATCTTGCAGCGTAGTTTCAGGAATCAGGTCATTCACACTTTTCTCTTTTGTTATGAAAACTCAGCAATAAATCATCAAGGGAAGGTTTTAGATAAAGCCCAACTGATATTAAGGAGTAAAAGATGTTGATACCGATGCATCCTATAGGAAGGGCAACGTGAAGACCATGGCTGACCGGGTTCTGCTGATGAGGGATCAGCTGAAGTCGAAGCTGCAGGCTCTGGGCACCCCGGGTACCTGGGACCACATCACCCAGCAGATCGGCATGTTCAGCTTCACCGGCCTCAACCGTGAGTACTTAGTCAGTAAACATCTTGAAGAAGTTTCCTAATATCCAGAAAAACCTTGTAAGTCCTTTAGTGAAGTAACAAGAATAAAGCATCAGTTCTTCTTCGACGCTCTGAGTGACGTCACCGTGTTGTCATGTGTCTTTCAGCCAAACAGGTGGAGTACATGATCAAGGAGAGGCACGTGTACCTGATGGCCAGCGGCCGCATCAACATGTGTGGTCTCACCACCAAGAACATCGACTATGTTGCTGAGTCCATCCACGAGTCCGTCACCAAGGTCCAGTAAAGGGCGGCTTCCCTGTCCGCCCACTTCCTGCCTCCTGCACGCCACAGGAAGTATCACCGAGTCTGTGCCCCCCTGTTCCCCTGCCCCTGCTTAACCTCTCCTCTGATTGGATAAACTGCAGCAGGGTTATTTGCAGTTGAACCAATGGGAGGAGGATGTGTTTCTGTTGTCACGGTAAAGTACAAATCTTTGGGAAGTGCAATGACTTTAGGAAAACACTTGAACAGTCAGGTTTCGCTGTCAGCAGAGTTCTGTACACCAGAACTCCAGAAGACAATAAGAATTCAAATGTCTTTTATCCATAATGTGTCATTTCTCGTCACAAACATTCACTTGAGCTTTTGTTATGAGTAAAAACGTTACGCCTCCTTAATTTATAGCACTTCAGGATTCAATATGATGCGTTAAATGGCAGAACACATACATTAATGTGTGTTTGTGTAATCAACAGCTGCTTTCAGACATGCACTGAAGTCCGGATGTTTCACTTGAGCTATAAGTGAGAATGCAAATGTCCGAGTCAGTTTTCCTGCCAGACTTCTAGTGAAATGTCCTGAAAATTCACAGCCAGCGAGTGGATGTGTTGGGGATCTTTCTAACAAACGAGGGACGACTCTTTCGTAGATTTTGTGGAAATGTCAGAACCCATTTTTCCGTTGTGTTCATGTCTGAAAACAGCTTCAGTCCTTCCCATTTCCTGCACAAGCACTGAACTGTAGCTCTGAACTGAGGCAAATCATGTTGCATGTTAAAATCATGACTGCCTCTGAAACCTGTGCCACTTGATAAATGAAGCAACACGTCGTTTGCACAGTTGTTTTGTCCAGTTGTAAATTTGAATAAGACTCAGTCAACTCAGCAGATCTTTGGTTTTAAAGTCAGAATGTTTCACTGGTTATTGTCTCTGTCATGTGACTTGGTTTTTGTGCCTGATGTTGGGAGGTTTTTTTTGTTTTGCCTTGTCCGAGCTGTGTTTTTGTGTCATCAGTGAGCAAAACCCCCTCTGGTGTGTTTGTTGTTTTTTTCCACCCCCCCCCCCTGCAGTGCTGCTCTTGTGTTACAGAGCGACCTCTGTAAAGTCAGTAGTTGTGTTGGTCAGACCTCAGGGCCCGACACCTGTGAGCCACACTCCGGTTTGTTAAAGGCACACAGCAGTATGTGTTCATACTGGAATAAATTGTAAACTACAGCAACCAATCAAACCATCTGTCTGATTTTTTTATTCTCCCCAAACCTTCTCTGGGTTTTACAGTTGTCTACAATATCTACATGGATGAAGGTAAAAGTCATTAAAAAAAACATGAACGTTCAGATTTGAAAGCTGATCAATCTCATTCGCCAGCGTTTTGTTTTGTTGCTCTCTGGTAGAAATACTGGAAAGACAAAGACTACGACCAACACGTTTCAGGCACTTTTGTGCTTGATTCACTTTCCCTGCCCTAAGTCCGTTTTAACTTTGTGATATAAGAAAATTTTTTCTTAGAGACACAGAATACAGAAGTAGAATAAATACACAATACATTTATAAAAAAGTTCTGCAAACAGATCACTTTCAGATCAGATCATTATTATTTTGTGGCTATAGTCAGGAAAATCTTGTTCTTCAAAGTAAAGATATCAAACCAGTCAGATAAATGCAGGAAATAAAAAAAGTGCCCAAGTTAATAAACTTTACTTCAGGGTGTCATAGGATTTAAATGTAAAATGAAATGCGAGACTTGAAATTCAGAATCATATCTTTATATTTCTGTATATTTTGATGCAAAATACCATCGAGTCTCATGTTTCAGACTTTATTCTGGCTCATAGGAGAAAAACTGAAGACACAAAACTAATCTCAGGTTCTTTAGAAACTCGTCCATCAGAGAGAAAATCAGATTGAACATCCTCCTGCAGCAGAACGAGGTACACTAGTTTTGACCTCCAGAGGAAGATGCTGATTGGCTGTTTGTGTTGCTCCAATGCAGCAAAGTGACTCAGCAGGTTTGATATATTCCTCCCAGGGGGGGGGGACGCTTCCCCCTCCCACCTCTGCGCCTCTTACACTAACCAATGAGCAGCGTTAGAGAGCACCCCTCCCTCCGTTTCATCCCCCTCGGCCTGCGATGGATTGATTGGGCTTCGTGAAAGTCGATACCACAGGTTCATGTCTGCTTGAATCCCATGACATGTTTTATTCAAACACTTAAATACAAACTGATTCATAGGGAACAAAGACATGCTCTTTAATAAAACCCAATGTAAACCTTGGCAAGAGGCAGAAGTTCACTTCAGGCAAAGTATCACCAATCTGATTCTGTTTAAATCAAAGCACCAGGAGCCAAACACTGATCAGAGCCTGGAACTTCCACCTCTGCATTTTCCTTTTCTCTTGTTCCTCCCTGTTTCCCCCCCACCCCTCTCTCCCCCTCTCTCCTCCTCCTCCTCCTCCTGCTGCTGCTCTTTGCTGCAATGGCACAAATCTGATCCTGCAAACGCAGCCGGACGGAGCCACACCCATCCATCCCACCCCCTCAGCACCGTGCAGAGAGCGCTTACATTCACAGAGCCGAAGGAAGAAGGAGTGCAGACAGACAGGAGATCCCAGATGAGTAACAGCAAACGTAAATGTTTATCCAGCACAGAGAGTGATAGGATTTTATTTGTCATCACAATGATAAATCAAACCAGTGCTCGTTCCAGTGACGACCTTTAAAATACACTTCTCTCAAATTCACAAGCTCAAACGTGAACCTGCGTTAACGGACGTGTAAAAGCTCCAGAAAACAAAAAATCATTTCAGCTCTTTCAGGCTGCAGTCGACATGCAGTGAGCGAATGGTGTTCTTTTTTTTCTGGGCAGAACTTCATGAATTCACATTTAGATTTTGTAAATGCTTTCACTCTAAGCCCTGCGCTCACACTCAGATAACCCCTGCTTGTGCTCAAACTGTCCATTCATGCATTGGATTGGTGAAACAAGTCAGAATTCCCCCGACCAATAGAACGCCAGGTGCATGTGAGTACAAGTGCACAGTGTCAGCAGAAGCACGGTTCTGAGAGAAAGAGTTACAAAAGAAATCCAACAAGTAACGCAGCACAACGTTTTCAGTGTTAAGGCTCCATAACTTTTAATTTCCAAATAGGAATAATATAAATAATATGATGAGCAGCCATTCACAATATATAAAAGTCATGTTTTCCTATTATTCTTGAAAATATACATCCAGTGTAACTTATTTCATCTCAATATAATCTACAAATTATTACAACGTAATGTTTGGATTAAATAACACTCAGTCTGTGGAGCTCCGTGCAGGATCTGTCTGCCAGGTGAGTATGTTTCATTTCTTTTGGATTCTGACAATACTCATGTTGAATTTGTGGTTTTTGTCACATCAGCTGTTTTCTGTATTGCTCTTATTCACTAAAAGTAGGTCACAAACAAAAGAATAGTGAAGTTTGGTGAAAATTTAAACACAGCAACTTCTGCGGAGGTTTTGTTGGCCTTGTGTGACGCTACAGTTAAGGCTTAGTGTGCACTCAGATGCCACGCCACCAGGGGGCAGCAAAGAAAACACCTTGTACAGAGGATGATTCGGGGTTTTGGACACATTCTTCATCGCAGACTGTTTTTTGTCAAAGTTCAATAAAAACATCTTCGTTACGCTCACTTCTTCTTCTGCTTTGAGCTTCGCTGATGACCCCTTCTTCTTCTTCTTCTTCTTCTTCTTCTTCTTCTTATTTTTCTCTTCTGCTCTCAAATATTTCTCAGTCCCTTTAGACGCCACCATTTTCTGGCCAGTTCATTTCCCACGGTGGTCCTGGAGCCAATCGGGTGTCCGATCTTTAAAGCATCACTATGTAACTGTTACTGAACAACAGCGCCCTCTGCAGCCACACATGGAGACTCATTCTGTTGGGTTGGATAATATTTTAACGCTGAAAAATCAATACACATTTGAGATACATGCGAATATGTTGAATAAACCCAATAATGTCTTTCTCCTTTAAGACATCTGAGCCTGAACAGTCCCTGCAGAGACTCTGTTTGCTCCAGTAAAGAAAATACAGAGAGAACAACACACAAATTGAACTGAATGGATCGAATAATAAAACAAGTGGCTCAGCTCTGTTGATGATTATTTGAAAAAGCTTCAGGGATCTGAAACAGTTTGATGAGATGAAAACCAGAAAGTCAGAGCTCCAGTCGTTTCTTCAAATCTGAGCCACAGTCTGATATTGTCTTATGGTTTTAAAAAACAAACAAATACAGACTCACAAAGTATAAAATGCACTTGAAATCACACAGCTTAAAAAACAATGACAAAATACAAGAGGTGAGACGAGGAGGAGGGTCAGCTGGTGTATGTCATAATAATTAAAAAATCAAACAATCAGTCAATAGTTGATGATCCTGATAAACTGTTTAAACGTCTTTGACATCTGGACACTAACAGACTCAGAAGCTGCGTCCAAATCCAGGGTCGCGTCCCCCAAAGGACACGGTCTGCGTCTACTGGAACTAGTTTGTCCCGCCCTTATTGCTATCACCTAGCAACAGAGCTGCACAGCGAGAACGTTTAAATGCCCCCTGGTTTTTTAATGTGTGTACGATTCGCTGATCTATTGAGATGAGACATCAGGCGTCTCGTTGTTTGCCGGCGCCAGAATCGCTCTTTTAAAAAATAGGTTATCACCAAAGTGCAGTGAATTCTGTTTCAAGTTTCAAGGTTCATATAATGCAGAAATAAATTTAAAGAAGTCTTTGCAGTTGGACAGCCTTTAAATTCAGCCTCTGAAGGATGCGGCACCTGAAATTTAGACACAGCTAGAGTCTGGATTTACTTGTAAATAAATAAAAAGTAGGGAAAAAATGACTGATGATACAGTTGGATTTGAATCTAGCACCAGCACAAAGCAGGTATTTTACTTGTTGAGGTTTCTCCAGATTTCCCCTGATTTTGGAGCAGAATGTACAAAACCACAACGTCTTTGGTGTCGTCCATCTGTTTCCTGTTCATTTCCTTTAGCTCCACTGGAGAAGTCAAATGTGAGGAGGTTATATAATGTATAAAAATTCAACTTGTTTCTACAAATCGTCAGTTCTTTACATACGAGCATCAGCAGCCTGCAGGATGAGAGGCTACAGTTGAATGCATATTGCAGAAGCTGCACCTGTTTACTATCGTCCAGGTGATGGAGGGGGGGTGTTCTCAGATAAAACTCTGATAGTTTTCACCGTCTTTACAAACAACTTAAAGAACCATCACATGATGGAGAGTTCACGTCTGTCTCCTGCTCGCTCTGCTAGGTTTTTACCAGCGGCTGCTCTGAAATGTCCTCTGGTGTTTTCTCTCCTTCGCGAGATTTTTTCCTCTTCTTGTGGCCTGAGGAGAAAAAAACAGTTTGCAGTTATGAAAAAGTTAAATTAGAGTTTTTTTTGTCTGAAAAAAAAAAACCGGCTGCATCAGAGGATCGGGCAGCAAAGGATGGTTCTATTTATCCTCCGGCACAAATACGACTTATATCAGGCATTGATCACAAAACGCTGCTGTGTTTGAGAAGCAACACGAGAATATAAAGTAGGCAAAACACTGATGTAAGTTTAGATACTGTGTGTGTGTGTGTGTGTCATGTGCGTGTGTGCGAGAGAGAGAGAGACTGAGTTTGCATATGAATCAAAGCCAATGGGAAAGAG